GTTCTAGACTCTGCCTGCTTCTACTACAATGATTATGCTGCTTGTGGCTGCATTTTTTTATACCTGATATTTCCTTCAACTTTCCAGTGTACCTTGATGTTACACGTGTCATTCTCCTGCACTGTGCTTAATTGCCTTTATTATTTCTCAGTCCGTCTTGTTTTGACACTCCTAGTTCATCTCATTTACAGTAGATGGCCATGAACTCTTCATTCTCATCTGTATTTTATACTGTACATTCCAGTCTTCCTCCATGTAGCTCATTTATTAACCTTTCATTCTGAATGTTTGTTTATTGTGGAAAGTTCACAAAACTAGCCTCTTTCAATACAGTTACGCTGCTGAATCGTTTCTTCCTTCAATGTGCTTATCTGGGGAACAATACCTCTTGCACTGCTTCTTAATTTCAATAGCAGAATACTATCTTAATTAGTTGAAACTAGCTATTCAGGGCCGGAGTCCAACCTTAGTTACAGTAGTAGAAACCTGGACTAATCCCATTGCAGAGTCATTTTTTTTCACATTCGTTCAGAAGTCCTAAATGGGAGGGAGCTGGGGGAGGAGAACCAAGAAGAAAGTATGTGGATTAAATTGAAGCTTCATAGATGGTCTTTTGTTGGGAGAATGTCTTCACTGAAGACAGGGATTGAACTGGAGAATGAGTGTAACATGGGCAGAAGAAGGTGGGTACTCTTTCAAGTGTTGCTCACATCACACGGTGTTTTTTGAGCTTGACTTGCTTTCATGGTGTTTGAATAAGTCTCTGGGTTCTGCTGAGCTCCTCGCACTTAGTTTCCTCTTGGGGATGCCGAGGTGCTCTTCAGTGATCTCTTTGGGGTTGGCTCCTAGAACGGAGGAGAGGAAGAATAAATGGAACTTCTCAAGTGTTTTATAGTCATGGCAGCATTATGGCTAAGTGCATTTTCTCTCATCTCCTCTTTTATAAATGCTTTTATTCGTAACATCTCATGAAGTAGGCTGTCGCTTATGAAAGCTTATGCCTTTCTGAATGAATTGATCTAAAGTGCCACCCTGCCTTGCCTCCTGCCTGAATTCAGACTTGTACAGCTAGATACTTCTTTCTATAAATGCTCTTGTGAGCAATGAAATAGTTCATATCTTGCATTTGAAAAGGAAGAAGCTGAAAGGCAAAAAATGGAATGAAAAATCATGTTCTGCTTCTGTGAGTGGGAGCCTCCGAACTTGGATGATCATTACTTGGAAATTGAAGTTAGTACCATCCAGGAGAATGGAACAAATTGCATCCTAACAGCTATTGTTTTGGGCTTTCTGCAGAGGGGAACAGACATTCCTGCATCAGTTACATTATTCAGTGTTTCAAGGTTTTCTTAAGCTAAGTCCATGCTAAACCTGGTTCACTGTTTTGGCGAGGGCTCCTAGTGTATGCACAGCTTCTACTTGCGCTGGGGAAAAAGGGTTTTGCCAATATACATTTTGCTGGCTTAGCGAGTGAAAGAATCTATAACATCAAAAGCACTTTTCTGCCACTAGAACCATGTCTATACTAGGATTTTTCCAGTAATGCTGAAGAACCCCGGTGCCCCTAAATGATGTTGCTATGCCAATAAAGTTTCTAGTGATTTGGTCTCGCTAATCATAACAACATGATTGCCTCCAGAGCTAACTGGCAATCTGTGTTGGGACAGAGGTAGGCTGTTATCCTGATTCTAGAGCATTTGGTTTGACAGTTAAAGCCCTCCACTTCAATTTCCACCTCAAAATCATCAGGTGATTGATGGTACTCAAGGAGTGCTGCTGTTATGCTCTCTCGACAAGAGGCTCTAATGAATAAACAGGCTGTCATGTCCTGCACTAACTTTAGGGGTTTGAGTGACTTTCCATATATTAACTGCCATGTAATACAATGTCCTGTCCTTGGAGCAACGCAGACCATGGAAATGTATAGCACATTCTGTATTTGAAAGAAAGATTATGCGATGTGGTTGCCTGTGACTTAGTGAACTAGGACATCTTTCCAGTCTTACGTTCCTATGAAAGTAACTTGCACTCATCTTGGCCCAGAAGTGGGGAAGAGATGCTTCTTGTTCCTGGTCTAAAGAAACCCTTTTACCCCCAAAGATTGTTCCTGTGCATGTTTTATAAATTGCCGTTGTTTTGGGGTACAGAGCTCAGCCCAGTGCCTTTGTGTGGAATATAAACAGAATACTTTGTTTTGTATCCAGCCTTCTAATAAAATCTAGTCCTAGGACAACTTCCTCCTTCTGCCCTTACTCTTCTCGGTTTCTGTCACTGACGCCTGTCTTAAATGGTTTTTTCAGGCTTTAATAGATAAAATTGAAAAAAGACAAAGAAACCAGTGAGAGAGATTTAATCGCATCTCATGAGCTTTGACTTGCAACACACTTGTCATGCCTTCTGCTTATTTTTATTCTCTATCATCGCTTGCTTTGTGTCTGAATTTAAATTGTAAGCATCTTGGGGCAGGGACCTGTCAGTTTTCTTTGTCTGAAAGCAGTATGTGCATCTTGGGCATTATGTATATGGACGATAATCCTTTTAGAGTTTTTCAGCTGACATCCCTGCAGCAGCATTGCAGTGATACCTGAATTTGGTTATGAATATGGCTCTCTAGAGTTGGGATCAGGGAATTGCAGTTTCTGTTCTAAGAATTTGCTCTTTGATCCTTTTTGTGAGCATGTTTTGCTGCAGGAGAAATCTATATTTGGCGTAGAAGGAAATCAGAAAATTGCCCATTCCACAAGTAGGATCAAATTTAACCAACAGTTTGTTTGTAGTTTATAGCATTTAAGAGCTGTCTCCCATAACGCACAGTCTGTGGGACTGGTAAAATGAAAGCCCAGTGTGCTAAGTGTAGAACAGGTGATGTGGAGTTTTGTCCTTCATCTCCGGGCAGTGGGTCCTATGAGCACTGTGAAGCTAGCGTGTTCTGCCCCACATTGGAAGGGAGAGCGCCACAATCACTTTGCATCATCTCTCTGATTGATTTTAATGTAAAGATGGTGTTCATTATCTGCACGTGGTACTGAAAGCCGTTCTGTCCAGCTGTATTTCCATAGGGTGAATTGTGAAGACAGGCTGCAGAGTCCCTTTCGGACATACTCGAAGGTAGTGCTTCTCAAACTTTTCCTCAGTGTGACCCCATTTATGACCCCATTCCCTCGACTCCCTACCCGCCTGGGTGCCCTTCACTCCCTACCCACAACCCCCTGGCCCTGCCAGTGCCCTTCACTCCCCAACCACAGCCTCCCACCCCACCAGCCCTACTGGTGCCCCTCACTTGTAACCCGCAACCCAAATTGGGAACTGCTTCTCTAAGGAGAATTTCTAAGGAATATAAAATGATAAAAGACTTGAAATATGCCCAGGATAAAAATGAAGCTTGAAGAAAGTCTCTCAAGACTGATGTCTAAGAAGTTGATCCTCATAGTTGTGTGTGTGTGTGTGTGTGTGGTGCCAGGAATTGGTGTTCCTGTGAGCAAAGAATGTGCCAAGAGCTTTGGTAGGCATTGCTAGGGAAAATAGAGACTGCAGTATTGAGTCTACCACCCCGTTAAAGCTAGCTTACTTTCCCAGCATACGTCACTGGTTGCATTTAGAGACCTGTTATACCGAGCAGGTTTTTACCTAGAATAGTATCAGAACAATGTGGATTTTAGGCCACTAAAGTATTTGAGCATTTTTGAGAAGGCAGTGAAGGAATCTGCTCCTTTACTATTTTGATGGTACATTGAGTACAAATGAAACACAGACCTCTATAAATTATCACAGCGATTTCAGCAGTGGCCTCTAATCTTTTCCACTTCTGTAAAGGGAATAAGTGTTCATTCCTGTCTTGAAGAATGAAACTAGTTGGAAGGTGTTGTTTTTTTTTTATGAATCATCAGATGTAAAGATGGACAGGATATAGCAGGTCACAGAGTCCATTTTCTGCCAGTTCAGGATTTTTCCCTAATGTAGTTGTTCTTATGCTTTGTCCAGCAGAATTCTATATTCCTGTTTTCTTCCCTCACATAACCAACACACCACCCCCTCTCCCAACCAACTGAGGAAGATTGGGGTATGCATTATACAAGAAAAAAGATCTCCATGGGTCCGTAAACTTGTTTGGGGGGGGGAGTTGTGTAGTGGCAGATCTAATTGCCCTGGCTCTGGGGACCATGACAGTTTAAAGCTACTGCTGCTCTTCCTCCCCAACTGCACGCTGAATTGGGCTGGCATGGGGTTGGTCTGCAACTGGACTCAGCATTGGCTCCAGATCTATGGACTGGGTCAGACTCAATGAGCCAAGTCTGGGACCTCATTCTGGCTCTGGGGCAATGTGCTGGCTTGGATTCAATGCTTGGCCCTGGAGCCAGTGGGTGGCCCTTGGTCCAGCATGCGGTCCCAGACTCGGTGCACTGGGTCAGACATGGCATGTGGCTCCAGAGGTAGCACATAGGTTTGCCTTCAGCATGCTGGGTCAGCCCATGTTCCCCATCTGGTGCGTGGGGCTGGCAACAGGCTCAAGAGCAGGCTTAGCACCCTAGCTGCTGCCACTCAATTGCCTCAAAAGAAGCTCTTTTTGAAGGAGGGAAAAAGAAAATATGGTAGTCTGTGATGAAGCGGCTGCTGCTGCTTCCTAGGGAACCTCTTTCCAACCTTCTGGATCTTGCTGTAACACCTTGCCCTAATGTTTAATCTTAAAATGTTGCTATTGTAAATTAATTTGGTGTCTTTGTTTCATCTCCTAAAAAGTATCTGGACAGGATTGAAATTCAGATCTGTACATACAGAACAATCTATTTTTAACCACTTGCTTGCCTTGTTACTGGAGCTTGTACTGAAGAGTGGAAAGAGCATGCCCCATCTCAACCAGTTCCGAGTTCCTCACTGGTTGTGTTGGAGTAGCTTTGCCTTTTGAGGATTGTGGTTGCGGAAATATTTCCGGTTAAAAAAGTACGTGGAACTGACAGAACTGCTTTATAGCACTGGCTAATCTTATCTCCACAGTGAATATTTTACAGATGGAGAGCAAGGCTGCAGCATTCTCCAAGTCAAGGGGAGAGCGAGCACGCTATCCTTGGAACGCAAGAATTTCAGGCTCTCTTTTCCAGGATTTGCAGTAAACCATGTAGGGGTGGGTTAGTTTTTTTGTTTGTTTTTTTTCAGCTGTATTAGTGCGATTACCTTCTTCTTCTGTTCTGCTGCAAAAATTGTTGTGAACAAATACTACTCTTGTTGTTTTACAACACATTGCACCCAATATTTTAATACTGCAGTGATGTATACGATGTGACAATTTTTCCTAAAGCAACTGATTTGTGTCAGAAGCACATACCAAGGCTTTTCTGCAGGAGCAAAGCCAGTTTGCAAACAGGTTCACAACAATGGTAAAGGGAACAAAAATAGATGGGTCAGGATGATAACTCCTTCTGTTTTTCCTCTTGTATTATAGTGTTGTGGTAGCAGCCCCGTGGTATGGTGGATGGGACTCAGAGAGATGATACAGATGCCCTAAGCATGCACTTAACCAATCTTAATACAAGTAATGCTTATTAAATAGGAAGTGTTGTCAGTGCTTTGATACTAGCAGTCCTAAAACCGATTCACTCCTGTCCTTTTCATGGCTTCAACTAGCCAGTTTCAGGACTGTTGTTAGAAGTCTTGAAGGTGATGGGAAATAGTCATTTTGGTGACTACTACTTGAAACCTTGAAAGTGAGAAGAGAGAGAGTGGCCATGAAACTGAGTGAGCTCCCATCATTTTCAAAGCTTTTAATAGCAGCCAGTTGACAGCTGCTTCCCCTTCACTGTTTCTGGCACCAATTTAGTACTCCGTTAATTAGTATGCAGCGTACAGTTACATTACAAATAGATCAGGGCTGAAAGATGCTATGCATTTGAGTGGTTTATGCACTTAGGCAGTGTTTGTTACAATGTAAGCAGTAGGGGGAAAACTTTCCTATCATGCTATTGTGCGTACCAGGGAAGTGCATAATTTGCTTAAGTGGAAGGTGTGTGCTATGATTGAGACAAGTGGTAAGTCACTCTTTCGGTTGCTTTTGCCTGCATAGGACCTTGCAATAGTTTTAAGCCCTTGTGTAGACATTCTTGCATTGGTTTAAAGCCTGGCTGCTTCTCGGTCTCTGGTTGGCTCAGATCAAGCATAGTAACTTGCCCTTGTAAATTTACTGGAGAAAGCTACAATGATACAATGCACGTTTAAATTTTTCACTTGCAAAACTATATTGGTTTAAAACTGCCTCTCTGATTTAAACTAGCTAAGTTTGTGTGGACCAGACTTAACTGGGATGACCCACCCCTTTTCAAAAGAAAGCCAACTTTAAGTAAGGAGCCTCTTTGTCAGGGTTACTTTGATTGGTGCCAGGGTTGGTGATGGGAATGGGGAAGATAAATTGTTCAGGTGCTTGTAACAATTTTTAAAAGCCTGGAGTGAAAATTTCAGAGCTTTCTCAAAAACTTGTACAACAAAATTGACAAAATAATTTGAATTAGAAGAATGCTGTCTGGTATGTGGGGGGGGGGGGTGGGTGGTATAGCAGTGATAGCAGCTTGGGTTTGGCTATAGATCCAGAGGTGAGTTTTAAGTCTTGCCTTGAACTTGCACCAAAGGCTATCCCCACTCAGCCTGGCTATAATTGGGTACCTTGTTATTTGGGTAGGGAAGTCAAAGGTGACTGGAAATGATACTAATCATGTAGCACTAGCTGCAAGAAGTAATGTGCCTTAGTCATGCTAGTTTGGTGTTCTACTTGGCTCAGGGAGGATTATTATTGTTCAGGGCGGCAACATCACTTTTATGAAGCCAGCATGTAGGTCTTTAATTTTTCTAGGTCATCCTTGCTACAAGGTAATCATTCCCTTCCCATTGTGAACCAGTTAATCTCTCTGACATCTTTTGCAGATGACTTCGGATGAGGGCTGTTGGGTCTGGGAAGCTGTCTACAAGTGGAATGGGGGTCTTGAGACAGACCTGAATCTTATTCCTGACTCTTCTGCTTACTTGCAGTATATGTCTCTAGGAGAAACGATTTAATGTCCTCCACATCTCAGTTTCGCATCCCCTAAATCAGCTCTGACACTAGCTTTGTTTGAAAGATTCTGTTAGTGCAAGGTAATGTTAATTGGTGTTGGTACTTCCAGTTTTCAGTATTGCATTCTTTTACGAGAGCACTGTCTTGTAGTGAGCCTGGAGCACGCCAAACTTGTTCTTCAGCTTGTAGTAACTAGAGCATATACAGTGCAAGTTTGTGCAAAAATAACCTGCTTCTCATCCTATTTTCCATTTGAAAACTAATGAACCAAGGAGGGTAGAATGGTATGGCTGGTTTAATTGAGGGGTAGAACGTACATGTCTTTCTGTTTTGTTTTATTTTAGTGGATCGAAATGTTTTAATATTTTTGAAGTAATCAAAATGCTTGCTTAATCTTACCAGCACCCTTTGTTCCTTTTCAGAGTGGCTAAGCTCCAAGTTTTAAATCTTTGCTTATACTATTAATTTTTTTTGCTAGTAAATAAAATTCAATTAGGATGTTTTAAGTCTTCATTTCTTGAAGTTTAGTTGAAAGCAGGGTTGGGCAGTTACTTTGGCTGGAGGGCTGTTTAACGAGTTTAGGTGAGCTGTCCAGGGCTGCAAGGATAGCCCCGCCCCTTGATGGGTGTGCCATGCCTTGGTCACCATCTTGGGACCAGAAGTCCCACCTCTAGCCCCTGATCTTTGCCAGCAGAAATCCCTCCCCTTGCTCCCTGTGCTCCCACCCCAATCTCCATCTGCAGGTGATGGCAGCGTGCAGGGCCAGCCCCACTGAGCCCTGCATGATGAAGCTGGCAGTGCAGGTCATGGAGCTTTGTTGGGGCGGTAGGGAGGGGGCGGAGCCAGCCCAGCTTCATAGTGCAGAGTTCCCCGCCATTCCCCATGACCTGTGCGTAGCAGTGGGTAGGGCCACGAACTGAATGTGAGCCTTGCGTGATGCAGCCAGGCAGACCCCTTGCCCAAGATCCATACTCCTGCTGCCTCACCCTGGGATCCTGCTGGCCCCAGGACACTGACATGGGCTCCGTGCTCCCATCTGCCACTGCCACTCCCCCACCACTTCCCCACTTTCCCTCCTGTATGCCCGCCTACCACAGCTGCCACTGCTTCCCAGCTGCTCCCGCCACTTCACCCACCCACCACCACATCCCTCCCCCTCCTCCCACCTTCTGCTCCAGCTCGCCCCAGCCAGTACTACACAGTTCCCTGCTGCATGGCTGTGACCTCGCGGTGCGGCATGGAACTAGCTTGGCCCAGTGCAGGCCCTGCAGCATGGGCTGATCGTGGCAGTTTCTACCGCCCAACCCCACCCCTGCATGGCCAGCCCCCACTGACTTCATATTGCATGGCGTGGCATGGATTTGGCCTGGCCCGGGTCCTGCAGTGTAGACTAATTGCGGTGGTTTCCCCCGCTCCTTCCATCCGATTTTTATGTGAATTTCCACTCAGATGGAGGGTGGGCAGGGAATAGCCAAAGGGTCACAAGGCCAGAAGCCCCAGAGGCTTCCAGTTGGGGACTGCGGGGAGGGCAGGGCTGAGAGGGCCTTGCTGCTTAGCCATTGGGTCCTGCCGCCAGCTTCTCCTGGGTCTTGCTGCTGCTAGCACCTCATCATCTTTGACAGGCAGCCGTGCAAGGATAACAGTTATTTTTTCTAAATTATTTTAGGGGCCCCATGGACTAGATAGAATGGCCTGGTAGACCAGATCTGGCCCGTGGGCTGTATTTTGCCTGCCTGTGGTTTAAAGTGTCTGGTTTGAATTCTCAATTGTTTCCAGTTTAGGCAGCTGAAGAGGGAGGAGACCTGTAAAGTAGCTCTCTGGTGTTGGTTATGGCGGACTTCACTCTGTGTGGAGACAAGACCAGCCTTGGGACTGCCCTAATCTGTCAGCTGGTTACATTCCCTTGGCTAAGTACAGACAGCCAAAAAGCCCAAGGCTGAATCGATTCAGTCTTCACAGGTTAGTCTAAAATGTATAGATTGAACCAATAAGCAAGTGAACAGACATTCATGTTTGGTTCTGGAAATGCCACATGCCTGCAATGGCCCAGGCCAGAAACTGGGGGGCACTAGAGCATGCCTCCCTGCTCGGCTGGAGCAGACAACTTGGGTCAAGGCTAGCCTGCCCACCCTGTGAGAGGTGGGGGTTGCGGGGGAGGTGCAAAGCATCCTGGGATGCTGGGGGACTGAGCTAACTGGAATCTGGAAGGGATCTGGGACAGAAGTTCAATAAACCAATATAACCCAAATCAGTTGCGTCTGATACTACATCCATCCAGGTTTATCTTAAACTGGCTTTGGCCATTTTGAAAGCAGTTTATGTGCACTGAACTTCTGTTGTGTTACAGATTTGAACCGGTTTCCAATCACTTACACTGGTTTATGTGCAATTTCGGTCCCTAGCCCAAGAATCCAGTGTGCCCCCTGGAAAGCAGCAGCTTTTGATCAACGTCCCAACGTGTATACGTGTGCACACATCTATTGGGGTCAGGGAAAGAAAGTACATTAAAGCCAGACTGTCTCTTCTGGCTTTTGCCATTTTGGGAGGATATTAAAGCAGCCAGTTATGCTAATATTCTGGTTACCTTGTGCTGGTGCTACAATCCAAAACAGCTGGAGCAGGGCCTGAGACGGGTGTAAGATCTAGGACCCAACCCAGAAATATACTGAGACCTGTTTGTGTTTTTAAAATCAGCTAAACGTAAGAATTACTAAAATCAGCTAAATGTAAAAGCTTAATATTTTCTGAAATTAGTTTGGGGATGTTGTATCTTAAGCAGCTTGTAAATGGGGTCTGAATGAATTTACAGGTTTTCTAACCTGTCTATAAGCAGTACACAGCTTCCTCATGCATGGTGAAAACTACCATATTGAGAATGATAAGCTTTAAGCTTTCTTAAGGGCAATACAGATTACTTCTTTTTTAAATGGTCTTTACTTCCTTCACCATTATCTGAAAATTAAACTTCATAAACCTTTTTTTTTTTTCTTCCCCCTGAAGGCAATTATGTATTCTATTGGTGTATTTGGCAACTATGGTAGTTTTTAGTTTCTTTTAGAGCAAAAACCAGTTTTATCAGTACAGTATAGAGTTTAGATGCTGCTGCAGGTCTGTCGTTGGCTCACTTCACTGCTTCAGAGCAAATTCAAAGGCAGAGTGAACAGCCTATGGCTAATCAGCCTCATGTGTAGGAGAGGTTCCCTGGAAAAGCAGAAACGTATAAGTATATCCACCCTGTGGGAGTCAACAGATGACATGGCCTTAGAAATGTACTAAATTGACAGATCTTTCTCAGAAGAGCTGATAGAGGGTTGGCTTGCATGGTATTGCATGTCTCTAAATTCCCTTTCAGAAACTGCAATTCTAATACAGCTAACATTTCTGATCTGGTAGCCCAAAATAGCTAGCTACCGTAGTGGACCTTGTACTGGAGATCTGTGCCCTACTGCAGATGGCTGACATACCCCTCTTGACTGAATCCTTGGTCCAGAAACGGGCATAACATCTACAAAGGACATGTGTCTCTTGGCCAGACAGTTGGCTGAAATGAAGCAGATGTCGACACCCAAACTTTCAAACAGCAAGGTACCTTAAACTGTGCATGCTATTCTGACTTGTTCAGAGAGCTTAAGTTCCTCAAGAATGAAGAAACCATCAGCTGCAGGTGAGGTTTGTGAAAAATGGAGACAAGGCCTTCTCAGTCCCAGGAACAAGATTTTGGAACCTTTTAAGAAAGAATGAACAGTCCTGTTGCCTGCTGTGTCAAACTCTGCTACTTTCTCATAGTGGTGAAGAGGAGGGGAGTGAAGGCAAGACGTAAGAAGCACACATGGTTTTTAAAGAAGAAAATTTTAAACATTGGCTCCTTATGACTTGATTTACTATCTTTTGGAGTGGCCTATGATTATAGATCCCAGAACCGGGAAGATGCTTTTTGTGTAACTGATGTTGCACGTCTAGTGGATAGAACCTAACTAGCATCTTTCTGCCCCAGTTATTTAATAAAAAATATGTGGATATTTCTCACTAAACTACAAATGTTATAGTAGATCATACTTCCGTTCCAAGCTTAGTTCTCTTTAAGATAGGCCACTTATCTGTTCATGTCAAACCATCTTATAAAAAAGATCAGAAACATTTTCAGACTAGAATAAGCAAATTCTAGCCAGTAATATTTAGAGCACTCCTGTTTTTTCTGTTGTTTGATTGAAAAATTTAAGCTTTACTTCAGCTAGCGTTGGTAACAAATTTATTTTTGCCAGCTAGCATTACAAGTAAGTTTTCATGCGTGGATAAAGAAAGCTTCAGGTTTCTTGAACTGCATCTTACTAGACAATGAGCAGTTGATCCAGCCTTACTCATTTTCCTGCAGTTTTGTGGATATTGTGTAAAGATGAAGAAATCTATTGGATTAAACCATACTTAATGGAAAGATTTTAGAATTCTACTATTAAAGCCTGGATTTGAGGATAAGAATTGCCAGAGTGATTTTTTTGATTCCCAGTAAAGAGTATCTTATAAATGTAAGGAGTATCTTGTTCATTCCATCCAGGAAGAGCACACACCAACTGCACAAACTTCCTTGGCCTGCAAAGGGTTTTTAAACGTGAAAGCTTACTAAAAACATTTTTTTCCAACTGTTTAAGTTGGTCTAATAAGATATCCGATTCACTCAAAGAACCTTGTCTGTCTCTTGTAAATGTAAATACTTCTGACTTTCTTACATCTTTGTCTCTGTCCCTGAACTTTTTATGTATGCATGCGATTCTTCTCCTGACAGGTTTCAGAACCGAGGAATGTGAAAGATTTGCGAAGAAGAATTGGTAAACACTTAACTACAGAAGCCAAATGGTGAAATCTGAAGGTGGTTAATTGTTTACAGATAGGGTTTTAGGAGAAAAGGATATTTAATCTGGAAGTTCAGTTTTGTGAGCCACAGATCTTCAAAGGTCACCGTTGGTCTCAGAAATAACAAAGTTGCACCAAAGCTGCAGGTAACTCCTGATGGAATTTCTGAAGCTTCTCTGAAATCTCGTGATAAAAAACCTGTCCAGAAATTAGCAAACCTGCTTCTGAGTAAGGCCTTAGATAAGTCCCTAAAGAGCCAGTTGTTCTATGAGGCCCAGGATAAGGATCCTTTGTGAAGCAGACTCTCAAACATAAAGACAGCCCCGAGGGCTTGGTTTGTGGTGTTGGGTTTGTTTGTTTGTTCCTGCTGCATAGCTTCTCTTCCTTGTGACATCAGTGCTAACACAAGCCCAATCTAGGGTCATAAAACTTACTAAGCAGTTGAATTTCCAATTTTCTTCTCTTTCAGGGGATATTTGATAGGGCTGCCCCCCAAAATAGGGATAAAATAATTTGATGCTTTGAAATAATGAGTCCCTGCCATTGGCTTCCCTTGCAGAGATGGGGCTGAGAATGCACTCTTCCCGAGGCTTGCAGTCAGGCTGAGGTCATTCTTGAATCGGTACTTACAAAGTAGTTGGGCACAAGGATTTAGTTAGTTTGGCAGTCAGTATGAATAGTAATATTGAATTAGGATCAGCTAGCAAATTTCCTTCTTTTGGTGTGATTAACTCCTATCCTTAGGGCAGTCAGTCTCCTTCCATAGGAACATGATTTGTACTAATTGTACAGATGAAATGGCCAATTGCCATTAATGCTTTTATGTTTAGCCAGTTGAGGTCTGGTCTGTTTTTTTGTTTGTTTGTTTTTTTTTCAAGACCCACATTTTTGCATGCTTGCTTCATGTTTACAATTTAGGGTAATTTGAAATTCTGTATCTTTACAATTCCTCCCCCACCCCGCCATACATTTCTTCCTTTAAGCTTCTGTTTGTGTTTCTACTGCTCAGACTGTGTTTTGCCTCTTGCCATAAATGTACTAGATATTAATTTATTATTTAGGTTATTAGTTGCTTACAGTTTTAGTAAATGTCTGCATCTCCGTTCTTACCTTCTTACTGTTTGCCCTCCCCTTCTTTTCTGATCTGGCCTCTTGACACAATATCTGAGCAGTCGGCTTGTTTTTATTCCGGGATTCTAAGTGTTAATCTTGTTGTAGACCAGAGTAGTAATTCATTGTTGTCACCAACACCAGCACATGCTTTAGACTGCTTCACGCCATGCTTGCTAGCCATATACTACAGTAGAAACAATTATTTCAAGAGTCCTATTCCACAGCCAGATGTTATAAAAACGGGTGCAATCAAAACCCTTTTGTAATGAGTGTCCTTACTTTGGGGGTGGAGAATTGGAAGGCCATTATATAGTGAAACGCACACTCCTGCTGTACAGTACTAGTAAGTGGCAGATCGATTTTAGAGCAGGCTAATTTTACTGCTCTTACTCCTAGGAAAGGTATATTTACACTTGAGGGTGGAGACAGAGAAAGGTATTTAGGTTTAAAGGGAATAAACACTGTTCCTCTATTCTGCTCCTTAGTTGTCACATACAAAGATAAATGTTGTGGAAGGGTATGTTTTCTTTGATAACTTTTGCACTAGTGCTCAAGCTGTCTGGCTCTCTGCGACACCATAATTTTCTTCACGCTATGTCTGTTCTTTCTACTTTACCAAATGGTGGAGGGATGCAATTTTGTTATGTTTCCTGGTTTGTACTGGCTCAGTTTAGCCAGTTGTTGGCCTTTCTGTTGGTTCCTATGAATTTATCTTACTGCAGTAGCACCCTGTGGATTTGATTGGTATTGGTAGCTCATTGTGGTAGGTTCTGCAGACAAAGATGCGTTCCCTCCTTTTGGGAGTTTACAGACTGGCTTTAATCCTGTGGCCACTTGCATGCTGAGCTGATGAGATGCCTGTATTGGGAATGTGCTTGCAGGACCTAGGCCCTACGATAAAAAAATGACACAAAAAGGCTTCTACACCCACCCCAATGTAAACTGTATCTACACTAAGAGAGTTTGCTGGTATCTCTCTACTTGCAGCCCTTTTCTAATGTAGATAAGGCCTGTGAATATTTGTAAGAGTTGTTGGCAGGCAAGGTTCTTTGAGTAGATGTGATATCTTTTATTAGACTGACTAAATAGTTGGAAAAACTGTTCTTTGCCATATTTCGGGCACAATCATCCTTTGTCAGGCATAGGGAGAGGCTGTGTGTCCTTAGACCAACGTGGCTACAACCAACAACCCCGTAAGACTTGTTTACAGTCTTGCCAACAGAGGTGATAGGAGGGTAGGTTACCTAACTGCACTTACCTGAGATGCCATGAAGATTTGAATGTCAAATCCCAAGGTAATATAATCCCCCTCTCCTTTCTTGGAAACTTTGACCAATGCTTATATAGTTGATAATACTATATAATCTGACTACAGTTTTCATTTCAGTACCTTGAAATGAATGGAGATGGCTCAGAGCTCAGAAAGCTGTTGTCAAAGACTGACTGCCGCTTGGCAGTGACATTGCATCATCACACACGGTTTACAATTGGGGAAATCTTTTAAAGGGTAGAGAGAAACTTTAAAAAAATCACACAAGCAAAAACAACTCAAATCAGAGTGTATGGTTTAAGATGGCAGCCTCTAGAAGGCATTGAATGGAAATGAACAGGAATAGTTCAAGCCTCTGTTATATCCAGAGCTCTGGCTGAGATTACAAGGCCGTATACCTCAACTTGCTAGCAACTTGCTGCTTGGATGAATTGTGGTCACTGTTTATTACTGCATAGGATCAGCCCCAACATTTTAGTAAATGTTCCACACCTAAAAGAGCCAAACCCTGTTGACTGCCATCTTTTTAGCAGAACTACAGCTTCAGGTAGAAGTTGTCTGTATGTGAGAGAACTGGTTGGTAGGGTATGTATTTGTGCGGGCCGGCTCCCGATCTCGGGGGCGAGCCGGGCCCGTCTTTGTGCACACAGGCTGTGGCCAGCAGCCCGGGCACGTGGGGCCGGAGAAAACCGCAGCGCGGTATAGTACGCTCAAGCTAGAATCAGTCACGGAGGCGTAATGGTTGATTGAAAAGATTATTTACTTACACCCAAGGTGGTCGTGGTGTAGGCTGGTCAGCTTTCCAGGCACAGCTCCGCTTGAGTTCTTGGTGGAGGGCTCTGATAGACTCGGTTCCTTGACCCCGGAGTGGTTTAAGCTCCGTGGGTTTAACAATTCGCTCTCACAGAGAAGCTGAATCTCCATGGGTTACTCGGTTCCCAGGTCCCCCGGAGCTGTTAAGACTCTGTGGGTTCGACAGTTGGGTCCATAGGATAGGGATACGTCTAGGATTGCGGTCGGCGACGGGGAGAGGTTAGAGGTTATGTGCCTCGGAGTTGTTAAGGCTCCGAGGGGTCGGAAATTAGCCCCCAGAGTTGTTGAAGCTCCGTGGGTTCGACAAGTTAAACCTCTGTTGCCCTCTTAAGGAAAAAGCTGGGTTCAAAAGGATCAGCAGCGCTTAGAGATCCTCACGCTCCTTTCCCGAACTCCACGTGCTTTCTCTCTCTCCGACTTGGGCGTAAACTACCCAAGCCTTTTGTACAGCTAGCAAGCCAATAGCTAGCTGCCACGTGTGCCTATATTAAGATCGGCCAATAATGTGGCGGAAATCTTAATACAAATGGCGGGAACTTCCTTGTACCGTGCATGCATCACCATAATGCAAAAGAAATGCACGATGCAAAGAAGGCTACAGAACTGGCGGGGAAAAAACTCCTGCACACGGGTTCTTAATTGCAACAGAATGCTCTACCATGCAAAAGAGCTGCAATTTAGCGGGAACACAATTTAGCGATGCCGAAGCGCGCACAAACAAGAAAACCACAACTTTGGGTTGTGACAGTATTAACACATTCCAGCCTAATAGTGCCCAGGTCCTATTTCCCCCAGATAATTTAATAAAATAAGCTCTGACTTAACTGAGAGAGAGAAGACATAATAGAGGGGAAAGGGAGATGTGTGCAGAGTTCCTAGCATAGGGCAGAGTGAGGAAAGGAGGAGTTGAGGGGGCATAGTTTTGCTGATACAGGGATATCTACAATAAGGGCTTTTCCTGGCATAATTATTTTGAGCAGGATTTCCACCCCTAACTGATAGTTATGCCAGCAAACGTGTTTAGTGTGTAGACCTATCCTCTT